CCCTAACGTTCTGTGATTCTGTGTGAAAGCTCCAGTGGAGCTATGTCCATTAGCTAAGGCTGTGAATTACAACTCCAGCATGATATTATCCCCATACTTAACTTGCAGTGAAAATCTAGCACACTCAAAGCAAACAAACAATAAATGGCCAACATCCCATGAGACTTCAAGGATTGCATACTGCCAGAAAAGGCAGATTTATTTCCACTGCTCAATGCTGGGAAGATACAAGCAACCAAGAATGGGCAACTGGAGTCTGTTAAGACAGTCGGCAGTTCATGGCTTAAACCAAAACTTTAGGGTATTTTGGTATTGTTTGATTTTGCTTTTAAGTGTTTGCCCTTGTCTGGATGAGGCTAAAAAATGCCCGTTAAGACTGCAATCTTTAGCAATTTCTGAGCCATCAGGCAGTTGCCTGCCAATAATACAAATGCTAAAAGCATTTGACAAGGGAACAAAAAGCACAAGTAATGATATGCAGATGGATTTTGGAACTAATGGGCCAGGAAGTCTACCAGAAAACTCCTTTCAGCTAGCCAATATGAATGAGAGCACACTTTTTTCCTGGACTTGCTATTATCACTTGCACTATCTCTATTTCATGTCCCAGTCAGGAGTAGTCCCAGTAATCCTTTAAGTATCCCGAAGGCCCCACAATTGGCTCTTGCTGCACGGGCACTCTGCTAACTTATGCTCAACTTCTTGTCTGCCAGGACCCCAGATCCTTTTTTGCTAAGCTGTTTCCTAGTCAGCCAGACTCGTGCGCACATGGGGCTATTCCGTTCCAGAAACAGGACTTTGCGCTTGCCCTTATATCCCATTCTGTCTCCTTCAATTCAGTATAGGGTATTTGGAGTGAAAACAACATGCCATAAACCCCATTGCAAGGGGGCAAAAATACATCCTACTTTTGTAGTAGTGGTGCCATCATTAAGTTCTCTCAGTGCTTACAAAAGATAAATTACTAGATAAATAACAGCTTTCTCAAACTCACCTCAAGCAAGCAATTCAGTGAAACAGCAGCACTAAGCTGGTATCAACACTCCCCTTTACGATAAAATCCCTTGAGTCACAACAGTGCCAAACAAATTACTGGACCACCATGAAAGTGTGGTCCAGTTAATCCTAGATCCTTGTGTTAGACCTATTACATTGAATGCCTGGTGCTGACAATACTGAGTTCAGGACAAAGCATGAAACATGACAGAGTTTGGCTTTTTGTTTTTGTTGGTTGTTTTGTGATTTTTTTTTTAAGCAGACAAAGCCAAACACATGTCTAGAGAGATTACCAAATTTAAACTACTACATGCCTCCTCTTCCACTCCTTTTCCCACAAGATATAATGACATTTCCATGATATTTCTAACATATTTGAGCTCTACAGATTCAATGCATATGTAGGTCTTCTGGTGAAGTCTGCAGTGAACTAGGGTAATCTGTAACCCACATTACTTAACCTCTTGCTGTCCTACCTGTTACAGTCATTGCCTCTCTCTCTGACAGGCTCTCTTGTTTTCCTACAATGAAGGACATATACTTTGGTTCCCTGTATTTCTCCTGCACCTACCAACTTCTCCTTCTCCATATTTTTTTTGGATTCAGAATTGCCCAACAGAATAAAGATGTCAGATCATTGTTCAGAAAATTCAAAGTATTTCAGTGAGAATGAGATTTGAATCTTAATGCTAGACTTCGGGCCATCCCCTTTAAAAGCAAAATTAAAGGTATGGCTTAGATTCAGGAAAAAATGCATCTCGGAAAACAATATGGCCACAAGTATCCTAAGGTTATTGCTTTTTCTAAAAATGCAGCCAAGCTGTATTCTCTATTTTTAAGCTGACAAGCATAACTGGAGTACCACTGGATCACCTATATTAATAAAAGGAGGAAAAATATTCCCTGTAGTACTCCATAAAAAAATATCTAAAGAAACTCGAGATCAACAGTTTCACCAATTCATACAAACTTATTGAAGAAAACTACACCATTTTCTTCATTTTTAAAAAATGCAAATCAGAGGCATACTCCTATCAGCAACTAAGAGAAATTCCTTCCCCTTCCATAGATTTGCTAACTTTTCTTGGTTGAAGTCACACAGGCTGTCAGAACAGGACTCAAAAGCTAATAAATTTATCTTATTCCCCGACATCACTCTGCAACTGGTGTTGAGCTCCAGTTTCCTGCAGCAGCCACTTACCTTGGAAACAAAACAGTCTGCTATAGCCACAGGATCATTTTCACAGTTTTCTAAATCTTGCAGAAGTTCACTAAAATAAAGAGCAGGAGAAGGAAAGACAATTATGGCACACCTTGGAATAGCACATCTGTATATTCGGAGCCAGACAGTGCTTTGTCATTCATGACAGAGAGATGCAGAGCATCATTAAGATGATGCAAGGAGTCCTAAAAAGGGAACAAGAACCCCTTCGGTGCCCCTCTTGCTCCTAGATGTATAGCTGCTGTGTTTTTTGTTTGTAGGCAGACAACTACTCTAAGGAAATGGTGTTTCCACATAGTTAAAAATTCAAGTCCTCACAATGACCATGGATTGCTGATATCCTAAGCAAAGCTGAACACATCTTCCTTCAGATTGACAATTCTATGATATTCGCAGTGGTGAATATGGCCCTGTCCCATAAAGGCTTTGTATGTTCTAGGAGCTTTACTTTACTGAGGAAGATGATGAGCTGGTCTGAAAAACACATATGAGAACCAGGGATGTATTACTCATACCAGAAGAATGGTAATAAGCTCAGTCAGGAAAAATCTGTCCACCTTCAGTGGATCTCTTTACTAAAGAAAAATGGTCTTCTGGAAGGGAATATTTAAATTCTATATGCATAAAAATAAAATCTTACTGAGAGGATTTTATAATTTTGACATACAATGAATTTATTTCCTGCTTGGCAACAGGAGCAAAGCAATAATGGAGCATGTTCACTGTTGTATGAAACTCAGTTCTCAAAAGGCAATTCAGTGAAAGAAAGAGTTCAAGCAGAAGAAGAAAACCTCAAAGGACTCTCCTTGATCCAAGCAGTCTTGAGTCTTACCAAAAGGTGCACTGAAAAACGAGAGAAGAAACTAAGTTTTCTGCCAAGCTGGTTTCTGATAGAACTTTTCGGTTTTTGTGGTTTCCACACACATCCCCCCCTCCCCTCATCAGATTATTTTCCATTTGGGGCTACTTTTCTCCCAGTTCACAGCTGGTTCCCTGAATGAGTTTTGTGTAAGAGTTGCTAAGCCTGTACCTAGGAAACTACCCTTTTCCCCTCTAAGCAGACACAATTTCCCTCTGTAAGCAAAATAAAGGAGTGAACCAGAAAAGTTTCCTGAGTTTTTCTTTGCTTCTTTAATTGCTGGAGGAAGGAAGGAGAGAAATCAGCTATCAGTCACAAGGAACAAAGACAGACAAAGACTGTGGGATCAGTGGCCACTAAGTAACTCCGCACAGCAACAATTTAACCTCCACAATTTCTCCCTTCATCAAAATGGGACTAAAAATACATCCTTTGCTTGATACCCCACATTCATGAAGCTCTTTTACATCAGCAAAAGCAGAAAGCTGTAACAGTGGTGACCATAACCATTAGTTATAATGACTGACTGCATTCCACACATGAGTATTGGAAATAATATCAGATGCACTGCACAGGCTCAGAGGATCCCTGCTGTCTGGCAGGCAGACATTCTTCTGATGGCTTACAGTATGTAGCACCTTGATTGTCATTTTATGCTTACCGGTCTCCTGTAATACCCTGTTGTTTCTCCCACGGGATGCAGTAATGCAACACTTAAAGACTTTATATATTCATACAATGACTCCAGGTTTACACAGTAAATGCGCTAGTGGCTTGTGTCTTCAGCAGAAGCCCACAGTGTAAGGCTGTGCTTTGAAAGATTTTGTTACCTGTACAGCACTCTCTTGTGTCTCTCCTGACTAGTAAGAATAGGATTGGTAAGAGCAGCCTTCCACTGTAAAAATAACAAATCTGTCACACCCAGGAATCTTGAAAAGCTTAAATAAATCCCTAAAATACCAAGGTGACATGTGAAAAGCAAGGCTATTATTATAGGCTACATCTAAGTATCTGACAGGATGCAGAAGAAACAATAGAGAAAAGCATTAGTTCCTTTCACGTGAATATCCAGAGGTTACCAAGTACTGTGCAGTCTACCCCATAAATGCTAAAGGAACAGCATCTACAAAAACCTCCATTCTCTCAATGCTTTGCAGAACACAGCATTCAAAACAAAAACGGACATGGGAGGCATAATCTGGTCTTCATGGTAGAATACTTTCATCACATAAAGTTCTGGAAAATTAGTCTGAAAAGTTCAGACTTTCAGTAAAAAAGGAAAAAAAAACAAGAGAAATTTAGCCTTGATGTAACTTCACTGTCACAAAAATCACATTAGCCAAACCAAATTAATTTCAACTCACAAAAAAGTGAGCTTCCATTAAAGGTGAGCTCTTACAGGTTTTATGCAGACTCCTGACAACAAGTCAGCCCTTTCCACTGTGAAGCTCAGAGCACAGGAACTGCTGAAAACAGCAGTTATAGAAAATGGCTCTGCACTATATTTTCATGCTACAGTAGCCACCGATGGACAAGGACCATGCAGGATGATTTGTGTGAGCAGCAGAGGTTTCAGCTTGGCCACTCCTAAGATTGTCTGAATGTTGGTAGAAGTACTAAACTTGAGCATGTTTCTCTGCAGAGTTCCCATTTCAGAACTGAGTCATGGTATCAGATGGAGAATTTATCCTAAACTCACACTGGAAAGAATCTCAGCACAAGAGACCAGTGAAGAAAGGCAGCAAATGCTGACTTAGAGAACACATTCCCCTTCCAAATATATACATTAATAATGGGGAAGCTTTTTCCAAGAGATGGAACAAGACCAGTGGACCAGCATATAGTCAGTGATTCTGCTTGAAGAAATACCTTTCCAAAAAGAAATCATAGTCACAGGACTAGCAGTTACCATCATGACCATCATTTCTGCCATGCAATGCAACAACTAAAAAATCTTAAGTAGTTTAGCTGAGAGAAATTCCCATTTGGTGAAATGAAAATTTTCAGATCTATACAAAATCCAAAAAGCCCCAAGACCTTTGTTCATTGACCATAAATGGTCAAATTCAAAGTTGAGCAAAACAAGGTCATTCTGAAACTATAAAATCATGCTCACAAAAAGCATCTGAAACTACTAACAGTGAACTGCCAAATGGACCTTTTTCAAAGGTAAAAATAAAGAAAAAGCTCTAGAGTATGCTTACGGCCCTGAAACTAACTACATGCCAAGTTTCACACAGGAGGGAACTTAATCCTTGAAGCTATATTGGGATCTACAATGAGTGTTCAGTCTTAAAAACTCACGATTTCCATGCAGAATTTCAAATTAGAAGGCCTGAAATACATTAGTAATTTACTAGAGGCTTTGGACAAGTGAGTTTGAGCCATTGTAACAGATCTATCTTTAAAATTGTCCAAAACTGCTCTTTTCTTTTTAATTTTTTTTATTAACCTCTGCAAATCTTTTTTTGCAATTCAATTATTCTGCATAATGACTGATCATACTTGAAAGTATTTTTATTAGATAATATTTTCAATGATGCTGGTGTAAATATGTCCTAGCTACCAAGTCTGCCATTTATCTAGCTTTTGAAGGATCAGAAAATACAATGGCCATGACTGTTTTTTTCCATCCTGTGACCACTGGGAAGCTGTAAGTTCACAATCATTGTCTCATGGTTCTAAAACATATCATTAGGCTAGCACTATGTATTTTCCATCATGTTAGACATTCAGTCACGTTAGTCATTGTAGCTGAAGCAGGACACAGCAGCTTTCTAGTTAAGTGTATTTCCATTACTCTGCAGTAGCTGTTTTAAGTTTCAGAAAAAGATTTTATGTTTCATCTGTGTCCATAAGTTCTGAATAGACTCATCCCCACTTTTCCCTTTGCTACTGAACAGTGATCTCAGCAGCAGAGCCACTTTAAAATAACTTCCCATGATTATGGAAAAACATTGAAGATGCTCTTTGACCAAGTCCTCTACTTCAGAATCCTCTGTTGATTCAATTAAATTATCTGTTGGTCTTTAAAGAACACAGTAGTCTGGAAGATGTTTTGTCAACTATAGCAAACCTAAGAGAGCTTTTACAGGAGTAATGGGATATAAAGGATGTGAGAACTTCACGCTAACTTATTTCTTGCATCAACTGAATAGTCAGGTTTTCCTTAAATGCTGAATAAGTTAATTCTTTTTAGAGTAACAGACGATTCAAAATAGCAGCAGCATGCTCCTAAAACTGCAGATGCTGCATGTCCCATACATGAAATTTTATTACAGGCTCCCAGAATACCATTTGTGGAATTTTAGAGAAGGCTGTAAAGATAATAAACAGAAGCCTTCAGTAAATAGAAAGGTACTTGAACACAGTTTTGAGAAATTAATGCAGGGAGTCCCTAGCAGTATAAAACACTACAAAAGCCAGATCTGGGGGACGTGTATCAGTACACGAAAGGACCCAACATAGTACAACTAAAACAACATCTCTTTAGTGAGTCAATAATTTCATTCACAGTCACCTTGCATCAGAGTCAGTTAGAGAAGAGAGCAGGTCAGGCTTAAATTCATGGAAATATCTACCATGAAAACAAAAAAAAGTAAATGCAGACCACATTTTATTCATAAAATAAACAGCTAAAAGAATATCTGATCCCAGCAAACCAACTGTGCTGAGAAGCAAAGACAGACTATTTCTCAATTTATATATCTTGGCTGTAGTAAAGTTATAAAAAAGTATTTGCTTGGCTTGCTCCCTCCCCATTAACACAGGTTACTTAACTGTTTTCGTTTGGTTAAATATGAATTTACCTGTTGAAATGGTAGATATCCCGTATGTTTCCAAACAGGGCTGATCGCTCTTCAGTCCCCAGGGAAAGCTTGGTCTGGTCAGTGATACAGTCAAGGTAATCCTACAAGAAAAATGAGAAGGAGACCTTCAGAAATTTCCTCTGTCTCTAGATCAGTAAATGGAGCTATGTTTTATTGTACAAGATGAGTCTCTTCATATCAGTTTCACCTTATTACAGTAAAGCCTTCAGTAGCCCCTCTGTGAACAGTCACTCTATTATGAAGGGTAACAGTACTTATCTGTTCACTGAAACCAAGAAAATAACAAAAGACTGAACATTAAGTTATAGCCCTTAGACAGGACAGCCAACATTTCTCTTGCTACTGATACACAAATGTATTCAGATTTCATTCATAATGACAGTTTAATTGATCATTTAACTGGGTCAAAGACAAAAAACCTGTAAAAGCAGGAGATGAAGAATGTCATTTAAAGCAGTCTTAGTAGCAGAAAACCTATATAATGAAGAGCAGAAAGCACACAAGCGACGCAGGCTCAGAAAAGTAATCACTGCACAAAAAAAAATTTACATGTTAGTTAAGAAAACAATGTAGAGGACACATCTTAATATATATTTAACCACACATACATTTACATTGCAAATTCCATTGCTATATACTCTAGCAGATTTCCTTTTGTATTTACAAAAGTGATAGTGTCTCGTCTGGGGACTTTAACTGAGTAAAAACAAGACAGAAAAGGCTCAGATCAGCAGTGTTTTGGGAGAACAACTTTTCCATCTCTTCTCTCTCTTTGATAAGAGCTCAACTCCTGAAGTGTCACCTTTCATTCTGTTGCTGCTACAGTATTAAAATTTCTCAGATAAGGGCAAACAAATCCAGCAGGCTATTTAACTAAATACAACTCATAAACCAAGAAACCCAATGTGCTGCCATATTCGTGAAGAAATTCTGTTGGAGGACGGAAATAAAAGTGAAAACAGCTGAAACAATGCAAAATAAAAATCAATAAAACCCCTTAGCCTGGGGTAGACAATGTGGTGTGGCAACCTCCCAAAAGCAACACAGTCTTCCACTGTGATTCACAGAAGGAGCCCTGCAAAACGTCAATGAGGCCATGAAAACTTCTAATATATAACTGTGTTCCAGAGTCGCAAAGAAAAAAATATTACAGAACACATAGATTGGCCAAGATTTATTCACTGTGTCAATGCAACGAAGACAAAAGGTTTGATCAAACATGGATCTGACTTTGGGAATTTTGATGCCCTCATAAGGAAGGTTAAGAATTGCAGTGTTTGACCCTCCATCCCCATATCCTTCTTTCCAACTGAAATAGTGTCAGCAGAGTCATAGGTATAACCAAGATTCAGGTTTAGGTACCAGTAGGCTTTCCTGTCCTCTCTGCTTAACCTAATGCTCAAAAATCCACACTCTTCCAACACCTCCAGTTAAAGGTGCCCCTCATCACTCAGTACTTTTTGCCAAGAGAAAGCAAGCAAGCCAAGGCAACTTCAGCATCTTTAAGAAAAGTAACAAGTGGCAGTGGTCAGGCAAGCAGGCAGGTCCCTGAGGAGCCATCTTATCTCTTCTGTGATGGACATCTGACTTGTACTCTACCTTCTCTTCTAGCTGACAGCAGTCTCACAGTCCAAGTCTGTCCTTGAAATATATTTGTGCAGTAAGTCACTGAAACCTGAACTTGTCTTTCACTTTTTATTTATACTTAGAAGTTGTAGAAGAGTAAAAGGTTCAGGATGGCGAGGCAGGTAGGACTGCAGCAATCAATACACTAGGTCAAAGGCAGAAGCAGATGACAGCTTAAGGACTACTCCAGTGATGGCAGTAAATAAATAAACTTTCTGTCCACTAATACAAATCTGCATATAAAAGCGAAGAACAGAAAAGCTCCGGTGGAATTGTGATCCTCTGAAAACATTTTTAGCACTGCAGGAGCACTGCAGCACCCCGAGATGGTATGATGGGGTGGGTTGCAGAAGAATGGAAATCTTACAGTATGTAACTCCATAAAGCAAATTTATTGAATAAAGAGGAGACCCTTTCAAATTAATTCATCTCAGCATAGCTGGAGCTTGGGTTTCTTCAAAATAACTAACAGTCCACAGTTATTTCCAGTATTTTAGACAGTGTTATAAGCATGACCTGGTTTGTGCTCCTTTTGTCTTCTTATTCTGGTTACATATACTGTCTCAGTCTTTTACCAACTCTTAGAAAGAAAGAGGGAACCAAGTACTTCCCAATGCTCCTGCCAAGCAGCAGCCTGGAGGTGCTCTGGCAGTTTTCCAGCATTCCCGCAACATATGCCAGTATCAGGTTATACCACACACCCATAGCTTCTGCTCTCTTTTGCTAGAAGTTCCTTAAAGCTGTGCTTCAAGCCCCCTTCTCCTCTCAGCATCAGATCAGAAACAAACCAGAAACTAATGGTTGATTTGTGCTTACCTAAAGGGAGATGTCTATTTGCTTAAAACGCTTGGGATTCAGAGGTACCTTGTATCTCACCTCATACTGTTAGGAAATCACACAAGATTCAGGGACTGCTTTCGTGCTTTAGCTTTCTGTTTTTGTTAATATTGCTGACTTAAGGCTTGTACAAGTCTGACAGCTACAGACATGTTTACATTGCTGTTACAGGTGTAAGCAGATACCTGAGCTAGACCCAAGCTACTTAACATGGTACTGACAGTAGGGTGGTCAAAGCAGCAAAAAGCTTCAGATAACCATGTTTATGAGAAAGAGGTAGACACCGGACAGTCTTGGCACAGTGGTCAGATGAAGCTCAGGCACTGTGCAGCAACATGGTGCTTGCAACTGACACAGCAAATGGGACCCTTCTGGTTATATAGCTTTATGGAGTGTGTGTGCTCTCACAGAGGCTTCATGAACTCATCCAGGAAACAAATACAGTACTGGCATATAATGTCCTCTGCAAGGACACCCTCACAGGCAGATCAAAGCTACCCAGCCATGGTGTTTTTCCTAATTATTTCTTAGCAAGTGGTACTTTACCCCTATGGTAGTCACTGCAACCTCCTACAGCGTATCAACAGCTGTTATCATCTGAAGCCATAATGAAAGGTTTGGAGCTACAAGATAACAGGGAAGGCTGCAACCATAATGACACAGCGCAGAAATCAATGAAATTTATCAGAACAGAGTACCGGCCTTATTAACTTTGTTTCTTGTCAGCATCTATGGACCCTCTGTCGGCACTGAATGATTTGTTTATAACCTTTGCCTTCACCAGCCTTTTATTGCTTCTTTACAGTTACAACAAAACATTTAGCTTACTTTATAGGAGAAAAAAAAAAACCACAAATGACAGTCATCTTAGACTGATTTATGGAGCAAGGTTTGCTCTAATGGTATTGCACAATTTTTACATCCTATTTCCTGAAACTCTCCAAAAACTAGAAGAGTCTTGCCAGACTACCCTGCTTTCTTTGCTGGGTTTTTATGTTTTCCCCATTTGTCTTTCATCACACCGAATCCATCAGAAGAAATGTCTGACAGAAGCTGCACCTCCTGACTACCATCTCCTCCTCCTTAATCACACAAGAAAGATTTCTAGAGGAACAAAATTATGACAACACTATCTCAGAGGCTAAAAAAGTAATTATATGAATTGGAAATTAGTTTAATCAATATGTGAAGATATTTTTGCTAATTTTGTCCTTTTCTTGAGAGTTTAAACTAATTTTTTCCATGACCAAACTTCAGGAACTAAATGCAAACCAGTGGGACATTTTGACCTAGCCACCCAGGTTTTCCTTTGAAAACGGACACACACTTAGCTTTAAAAACAGGCTACAAGCTGAACAATAATAAATAATAAATCAGCCATTAATATGGCAATGTTAAAATTACACATTAAAATGAGTAATATTAATGGTAATGTTAACATGGTAATGCTAAATAAAATGGGTAAAAGCCACACTGTCTCATAAAACAAAAATAAATTGTTATCCTGCCCTGCAGGAAACATACACTATAGAAGTTCTTAATAACCCCTTTACAGGGCAGGACTGTGCATACATGGGTATGACCAAAGATAAGCAAACATGTTGAAAGAGCAGCATTGGTACATAAGTACACCTTTTTCAAGAGGCAAACATGCAGGATAATGAAAATTTGATTAAATACCAGTACCAAAAAAAGGATTCTACCCACCACAAAACTTTGCTTTCCAATGCCTAAACATTGGCTGCAGGAGAAAGTAAAGCAGCTGTACGTCTCTGGACTTCAGCAACACACTCTTTGGCTCAAGAGCTGAGGACTTTTATCAGGAAAATTCAGTCTCTGACCAAAAAAATGCATAAAATCAGGTACTTATCAAAACTCCAATGACTTCTAGTGTTGCAGCCTGAAAAGGAAGATGTAATATTAAATCAAGCAGGACCTAATCCAGGCAATGCCACATAATAACTAAGACTCCAGTTTTCTGATACTCCTTAGATCTGTGCGGCAAGCAAGTAAGGCAGTTTAAGTAAGGCAGCTTGTATTCCTAGATGTTACACCATACCCATAGGCATATATTTGCCCGACTTCCCTCTACCTAACACAGATGCACATGGCCCAAATCAGATGGCTGTACAGAAGAGGAACCACTGAAATGGCTCAGCAGCCTTGACCACCTAAGTACTACTTCCACACCACTTTGAGGAAGAGGCTGCAGGACTGAAGGCAAACATGCCACAAACCGGATCCTGCTTGTACCCTGCTAGCTAGAGCTGTGCTGATCAAACTAGCTACATACCGGTAACCAAAGAGAAAGCTGGGTAACAGTTGCACGACAGAGTAACTGCTATAACATGCTCCCCATTGCTAATCCTGCCAATTACACAGGTAATTGTATTATGTACAAATTCTCCTTTTGCATAATTTTTTTCTATTTTTTTTCTTATTATTTTATGGCATGTACAGCAACATACTCTGAATGCCTTGTGGGTCAAGAAATAGCCTACTATCCACAACAGGTGGCCAAGGATGCTGAATTCTGGTCAGTGCACCTCACTGCAGCTTTTTATATTTAATTAATAAAAGATTAATATAAAGTACAGCTGCACCCTGCAAAGCAAAG